CGCATCACCGGTACACCGCATCACACCTACACCGCATCACAGGTAACCGCATCACCGGTACACCGCATCACCGGTACACCGCATCACAGGTACACCGCATCACACCGGTACACGCATCACAGGTACACCGCATCACAGGTACACCGCATCACCGGTACACACCGCATCACCGGTACACCGCATCACACGGTACACCGCATCACCGGTACACCGCATCACCGGTACACCGCATCACAGGTACACCGCATCACCGGTACACCGCATCACCGGTACACCGCATCACAGGTACACCGCATCACCGTACACCGCATCACCGGTACACCGCATCACAGGTACACCGCATCACCGGTACACCGCATCACCGGTACACCGCATCACCGGTACACCGCATCACAGGTACACCGCATCACCGGTACACCGCATCACCGGTACACCGCATCACAGGTACACCGCATCACAGGTACACCGCATCACCGGTACACCGCATCACAGGTACACCGCATCACCGGTACACCGCATCACCCGCCTAGTGGAAGGTAGTGGAAGGCGTTCAACTTGCGACCGTGCAGACCTCGGTTTGCGGTGATGGTCGCCGCTGTGCGTTGTCAAGCGAAGTTATCATTAAGAGGTACGTATCTTGGTAGTAAGATAATTAGTAGTAAGTATCTTAGTAGGTAAGAGGTACGTATATTAATCATTGAGAGGTATGGGCTGCAGCCTGTGCTGTCATGCACTGCACCCCGACAGCCGAGGAGGAGCAGTGAAATGTTTTTTTTTCCATTCGTGATGGTTACCATCGAGGTATCGAGAGAGCATGTCGAGTATGACCCGATTTAACTTCTCGCACAACCCGTTTCCGGCTGGCCAGCCTGGTGACGTCTGTGTTTTGTTGATCCTCAGCAGACGGCACATTTTTTGAACACCTTACCGCAGAAAAGTTGCTCCCTGATCGAAATGAAAAGATTGTGGCACGCCCCCAGCGCGAGATTGACCAGAACAGCAGCCATCTCGTCAGCTTCTTGGGTTTTCAAGGGATACATCTCTACCCACTTGGCAAAATGATCTATCACCGTTACATCATCTACGCACGTTAAGTTAGGTTCGTGAGATGTGTTCATGATGTCATGGATTGCTCATTATGCCGTGACCGAATAATTCAACAAGGAGGGTTTCCTTCTTTTAAGAAGGGTGTAGTGCAAGGTGTCAGAGAACACCTATGTGCTGCTAGTGAATGTTTGCTTAGTTTGGAAAGCGCCGCTTCGAGGCGCTTACGTTCTCATCGTCCTGCCCCAGGCGAGGGAGGCGACCGCGGGGACCAGGAGAGGGGGAGTAACAAGAGAAAAGACTCAGAGAGCCGCCGGCGCGAGCGCGGACACGCTGGCGGGACGGACTGTGTGGAATTCGTGGGACACGTGTCAAATATAGAAGTGACTTTGGACGTAGTGAGCGTACCAGTGAGCCGGAAGCGAGACGCCAGAGCAGAAGAACTTACAATTTAATATCAAGCACACGTTTACACTTATGTATGCATTGGACCGTGTGGTTAGCGGCAGGCTTGCAAAGCCTACGATCATGTTCGCCATTAGATTTTACGTAATCATATTATCTGCAGGAGGATTTCCGATGTCCCGGGTGTCCCGCAGCGTTGCTCCCCACGGCTAGCAGCCGCGCCGCATTGAAGTCCTGACACCAGTGACGTCACCGTCCTGTACAAAGCCTGTGAAAACCCACTTACAACAAAAGCTCATGCATGACATGCCCGCTTAAATCCGAGTAGGCCGCCGTGCATCGAGTCCGCGTTCTAGGGCCTTGCATCGCGTCCCCTTCGTCCATGCGAATGGGAGGGCGGGTATACGAATTTGTGAGAAGAGACACAACAGAAAACTTAAAGCCCCATACATCCAACCCTTTTGGCATAGTCTTTCCAAGGTGAAAACCAGTTTGGGTAGTCAGGTAATGCCTGTGCTATGCCTGTATATGTGTTTTGCCGGGTTTGCAGGTACAGTGCTCTTGTGTGGCTGCATTCTGTAATTTTTACAGGCCTTCCAGACTTTGACCAGCCTGACATAACCTGAAATCATTATGACACATTGTTGATAGTTTCATTACCCATTTCAAATCCAATATCCTAACTGAACAGCCCCTACCTCAGGGTCAGGTGTGTGGCCAGACTCATGGGCTGCATGTGCCATTTGGCATGCTTGCTGAACTGATGGGCCCAGGATAACTTTCATACTTCCAGTGGCCAATTTGGTCTTGAAAATAAATAGTGGTTGAAGCATTCACTTGGAACTTTTATGCACATATGTACACAAGTTGATGCACTGGGGATGAGCCTTTCCATCACAGAGAGCTTGATGCTGGATAATATCTTTTTCAATGCTCTTTGGAGCTGTGTGAGATTTGTTGGTAGCTTCTCCTTGTCTGTTGCCAATGGAAGGGAACTCCACAATACTCCTACTGGGCTCTGGGATGGGCTGTTCCTTCACTGTCTCTTTTAGCCAGTGGTGATGGAGGTTTTTTGTCACCATTTCTTGACCTTGGGCTGAGTGATAAGCTTAGGTGGCATCTTGCATGAAGATGCGAATTGAGCAAATCTGTCAAACAACTCCAGCTCCATTAAACATCACTCCAAAAGAGGGCTTATCCCAGAGAGTCTGTCCATGTCCAGTAGGCAGAATGTCCCCAAGGTGGTCCCAAGCTGTAGTTTTCAGCATTTACATGTGTCCTTCCTGTGAGTGCATGCATCTAAAACTCTGATGGGACATTATACCCTGCATTGATTTGATGTTAGCCCTACTGGAGGGACCATGGGTTTTTATGGTTCTGCGATTTTGAGCCCAGATCCATGGTTGTGGTAATTTGGTGGATGGAATGATTGTGAATCAAGGCATGGATCAAGCAGTGGTTTTTCACTAACAAGAACTTGCTTCATGTCATCAACAGGCCAATTCTTGCACTCTTGTGTCATCTGAAACAATTGTTTGTTGGTCATTTTTGGTGTGATGCATGTATTGGAGACACTAGGCCTGTCTCAGCATGTTCCTCCAGAAGTATTGCTCAGGTTTGTCCAAAATCAAATGAGCTTTATAGGTGGGCTGTCAGATGATTTTGGCTGCATGATGACCACCATTGCTGTTGGCTTCTTCAGCATGATTTTGATTGATGCAGAAATACT